AAATAGTATGTAAAAAATTGGGCTTAGGATTTATCCCTTTAGGAACCCTGCTTTCATCTGAATGGGTGAAGAGAAATCATTTCCTTGTCCAACCCCAAAAGTCTTATATTCAAGAAACGATTGAATTAGGAAAATGACTGAAAGAGGGAGATTTATCTTGATTAACTTGTAAATTAGCTCCTCATACCAAATGTGGCCAGAAGCCTTGGCCATGTGTAGCATGAGGATAGCTACATTCAGCTTGTTGCAAATAGCCGATACAATACAATCTATTCACATAGTATTAGGGCAACCTGTATAGTGGTAGATAAACACTTTCAAAATCCATACTGTACATTCGAGAGATCTTGCAAACAGAGCTTCATTCTGTTGTAAGCAATTCTCTCAAGCTGATTTCCAAGCATAGATAGAAGCCTAATTGGCCGGTAGCTAATGGGAGAATCAGGCCACTTGAAAAGCTGTACAATCAGGAAAACTGATGATTGCTTCTAGGCGTCTGGAAAATACGGATTCCACAGACATCCAATCAAAATACTGTTGAAGGAAGCTATGTAATTATTAGAAAGATTTTATTTTAGCATTCTGTTTGCAATTTGAGTTAAACATGGTGCTTTCCTGGACGATGTGGTCTCGATGATATGATTTATTTCGCCTGCGAAAAGGAATTTAATGCTATTCCTGGGGGACGGGGATTTAAGCCAGATATTTATTGAGTCAATTACTTCTTTGTCCATCACCTCTCTAATGGTTAGTATAGGTCATGTTGTTATCATTTCTGATTGGCTGACTATACTGTCTGTTCGTTTTAATTGTTCTATTATAGTTCCAGAAAGAACCGACTTCGAGCTCGAGTTTATACATCTTATGTTGCCATATTTTTGATTTAGCTCCCTAATAAGAGTTTTACTTCTTCTGTTTAGTCTGTTAATCTAGGGCTTCGTGTCAGGATCCCAAGTACGGTTAGAGTACTTCCTTTAGCCTGTTTCATTCATGGATAAGATTCTTGATGTGAGTGAGAGATTTTCCATTATTATTATCGGTCTTGATAGTTTTTGTGGAGGGCTTCAAAAAATCCTAAATATTGTTAGTGAAGATGTTGATTTCACTATCGATATCACTCGTTGTTCTCAAGCAGTTAGTATTTAAAGGAGTAATGTAGGATAAATTCCAAAATAGATCCCAATCGGTGACTTTTTTGAGCGGAAAATCTTTTGGCCTCATTGCGCGCTTACTAGTGCACGGTCAGATGAAAGGACGTCTGTCACGTCTATGGCCATTTTAAATTTGATGGTACTTGAAAAAAAATCCAGATTGTAATATCTACGGCTAATTATATTTGGCCTTTAAGTTGTCATGTCCCGAACAACGAGATTAATCGAGTTATTTAGAATAAAGTTGTGAATAATACTGCCATTTCTGTTTCTGGTTCGGCAGCGGCAATTCACATAATTGCAATTACAGTTCTCGCCAGCGTATTTGGGATACTGATGGTACAGTTGTTCGCTGAGAATGGCGTTGAATAACACATTATCCGACGGATTATAAAGTCCATAAAAATAATATTTCCCCGCATTGGAGAATTCACACACACTTTCACTATTTCTTACTCTTTCTTATTATCCGTATTCAGCAAGCATGATTTTAAAGAATGTTTGATGTATGTGAGAACCCCTCTTCCACGATGCTTTATTCTCTCATACCTATATTTGTAGGAATTTGCAAGCCGCAGGCTGTGCTGAGGCTTATCGTGGTTTGCTGCGATTATTGCGATATCTACAGCTTGACTGACCATAAAAATATAACACTCTAATAATTCTGTATACAGGTTTACATGCATTCCATAGCATGATCGTATATGGTGCAATCGTTGCATGTGGCGTGCCGTTCATGATGTGGATTTTGCTGTCTGATGCATTATATTTTTCATTATTTTGTTGCAGGATTTGGGCTAGATTCTCACTGCCCTAATCTTTGAGCATGAAAAGCAGAGAGGTCAGGACTCCCAAAACTTCTTCTGCCTGAGAGAGTTTGCTCAGTATAAAAGATTTCTTGCCGGTGGTGCGGATTCATGTTGGTATTGATGATGACTCTTTCAGTCCGGGCAGTGGGATGGATGCTCCCTAAATGTTTAGGGAAGACCTCATACCCGCGGTAACTGACAGTGGAATTGGCACAAGTGGGGATCTCGTGCAGGGGCTTCTCACAGCTCTTGAACTTGTGTCCTTGCCCACATTTTACAACGCGGGTGTCGATAGGTAGATCAAGCGTGGTGGAAATACTGGCAGTGAAAACGTTAAGTTTTTCTACTCCGGCGTCTCCGGGATTGCATTTTGATCCTCAAATACATTACATATTGCAAATTATACAGTGTCCTTCCTTGCTCAGTTTTCCGCAGAGTAATCAAGAAGAAAGGGAGTTTGGGGATATCCAGGCTTTTCTTCTGGTCAGTTAATCCACCTTTAGCGCGGGGTATCATAGTGCAAGTAGTTTGTCATCAGTCGTTTTAGACGACAGAAGGGTTCTTATTCGAATTTTAAGACTTTTGTTTTCAGGCAAGCTATACGAGTGATAAGGAATCTCCTTATTATCAAGGAGAGCTGTGATTTAGCAGTGGATAGCTGGCTTGTAAGCTTTCGCCTCAAATCCTCGGTTTGTTTTCATCTTCGCTCGAAAGCCTGTAAGTTTAGAAACCTCTAAACTATCAGTAAGCTGCTTCTAAGTGAAAGATAAATTTTTAATCATTTTATTAAAAAACGTAACGCTTCGTTTCGAGGATAGAAAATTGTCCTGAGACAAGTCCTGAGAAGTTTCGTGCTTGGTTCTGGTTTAAGCAATCGAACTAATAGCATTTGGTCTGGCGTGGCTTCAGCTGAGAGGCTACAGTCGCGTATCTTCAGTTCTTTCCTGGCAGGAACAGCAGATGGGGATTTTTTCTCCAGTTTAGCAGGAGAGCGGGCTGAAAACTTAGATTTTTTTTATCACTGGTTATTTTTCGGTAGAAGAAATATCACCCGGTTGAGAGGATGTATCACCGATGCCGTCATACAGGGAAGCAAACGGGTTCGCTGAAATTCCGATAGCTGGAGACTCGATAGTAGGGGGCTGAAAGGTCTTTTATCCCGAACTTTGTTACATTCCATATCACGTTGATCTCCGGATTCAGGTTTGGCTAGGAGTATCTGGTTGCACGGCAGTGGGATTTCTGAGACATTTTTCAGCTGCAAGAATTCTCTCGCGGCTAACAATTTTTGCAAATTCAGGTAATCTTTCCCGTCTGAGATTCCTTCCTTGCGGCGGAGCTCCTCAATTCTGGTAATGCGAAATTCTGCACATTGCAGCACAAATTGAAAACAGACATTTTGAAATCGAAAGCAGAAATTTTAGTAAAATACACAATAAACAAATTAATTGTGGATAAAGTATCAGAGCTAATACATATACGTCAGACAAATACGAGGTCGCTACTAAAATTCTCATAACCAGAATTCAGTTGTCGCTAGTTTACATAATACCAAAAAAGCCCTAAGTCTAAATCGCAGCATAGGACGCGGGCGAGGAAAAATCACCTTCACGCTCGAAGTAATCTAAAAGGTTTCTCACGGGAGAATAGAGAACGCGAACTTAAAAACAGATCTATTTATACTTTTTTTAGCTAACGTCCGTTGCCACAGTCGAAATGGCATTCGAACTGAAAAATGTGAGGATTTGCGTTCACAGTGACGCATACTGTAAAGTTCGATATGAAGACTGTAAAGATATTTCCATGTATTTTAATAAAAGATACAAGAAACAGGAAGACTTATAATGAGGTTTCCAACGTGAAATACCTTGTGATATTTAGAATAAGAGGATCAAAATCAAGGAATTATTAGTATGAATCGACACTTTGTTTTGAATGAAATACATTCCCATGTATTAGCGATTTATTTCTCCAGTTTTATATCTTTATTTTCCTATATCATTCAAAAAATTCTGTCGATTTCTGCCTTTTAATGCCATTTCATTAAATAATTTCTTTTGCACGTATTTTTTACAGTTTTCGAGAAAAATCGATATTCTAGAGGCAGCGCACAGAAACTACAAATGAGAGTGCTCCGGCAGTTATTTGTAATAAAATTAATATTAGTGCTACTAGAAAATTCTCTTATTATGTAAAATTTCTTTTATCTGTTATGCATTATTGAATATATGCTTCATGCTCCCTTGTCTCCCACCCATTTATCATACTACCTGCTGAATGTAAGTTTCGGTTTCTCTAAATCCTAGTACAGCTTCATTTCAAACGAAGCACATACAATTCTTTACAGCTCTTTACTTCTTTCATTCAAATTGTTCAAATGATTCAACTGAATTTTGAGGTTTAATAATTGAACAAAAAAGTTTTTTTTAATTATCCGAAACATCAGCGGTGAAAATCTGATTTTAAAAGAGTTTTCCGTCACATTTTCAGTTCAAGAGTACAGATGACTCAAAGTTTTATACAAATTCCATTTTAAATTGTCTACATAATTTTTTTCAGCTTAAATTAAATTTTTTCTGATAAAATGTTTCATGCGGTTGTATTTTATGTATAATAATGTAGACAAATATTTTCGCGAAATATTTTGATGAAAATGTGTGCTTTGTAGTCTTATGTTAATTGAAATTTACCTGTTTGTCTTCATGTTTATTTAATTAATTGCTATTTATTTAATACCAGAAATATATTTTTATTTTATTTATTTTGACTTCACGCTACTTATTGCTTTATTTACATATTTTATTTATTTTTCCTAAACGGCCTTCCTTTGGGATCCGGACTAGATTTGATTTTAATTAGTTGGAATTTGATTTTAAATCCTGTAAAATCTTATGCATTTATGTTCTTTAAAATCCATAAAATGAACACACAACTGTTAGATATTGTGAAAGATGAAAGTATCTGATTGTTCTACATCGTCTTAAACGTACTTTCTTTTTAAACGTACTTCATCTAATATTCTCATTTATAATTCCCACAGAATATGAAAGATGAGTTTCTTATGTATGGTGATTACAACGTAATTGTGGTCGATTGGAGTGGAGGAAACAAGCCTCCATACTATCAAGCAACAGCAAACACAAGAGTTGTAGGCGCAGAAATTGCTTTAATAATCAAAGCTTTAGAGGTGAGTATTTTTATCAATTTATAGTGAAATTTCAGAATTACTACGCTGTAAATGCTCTTGCATGGAGGTTAGTTCACGAATATTTAAGTTGTATTTATAAATTATCATGCTAGGATAAAATATTTATTTTTTTTTACAAAATAAAGGCTGACTTCAGTTTAATATTAATAGTCTTCACATTTCCGAATTTTAAAATTTTTCTTTTACTTGTTATGTTGTGTAACGTGCATATACAGTCCTTTATTGCCTCAGTTTCAAATAATTTCACATTGTTATCATAGTCGCTGTCCTTAAACCTTACGATTTCTCTTTTTAGAAAATATCATTCAGCCATAAGGAAATGAATATTTTTCTTTCAACTCATAATGAGAATCGATTTATCAGGAATCCCATCACGTGTTAAATAATTTGAATGTGCTATTAACATGGATGGTTGTTATCTGAAAAATCTATACGTATTTACAACAGCTTTATTTGAGACAGCTGAAAAATAAAATTAGCAGCGGTTTTTAAGTGTTTAAATAATATATTTTAAATTCACAAGAAAAACATGCTACTACATTTCAGGTGCTTTATGTTGTGAGTTTTTAATATTGATAATAATCTATTAATAACTGCTTCAGGTCTTTTAGATATTGAAACCTCATTTTCTACGCTTACTGCAATAAGCTTTCAAAAAATCAGTACGCTTTTTAGTACATTGTATTTGGGCTTGGTTATACACTGTTGAATACTCCGTTACTTGCAGCTTATATGAGAGCTATGTAAATCACCTTTTCTTCCTTTTCTGTTTCCGTTAGGCTTAATACATACAATGTAGTTATTTTTTTTTTCATAAAATGATCAGCAAAGTGTTTGATATAATACCTATTCACACTGAAACATTTATCTAATTTGCCTTACAGATAATTGTGAGTGGATTTTATATCTGTCTTAAAGCCACTCAAAGAGTTCTTCTGTCTCACAAAGTTAAGGCTTGCCGTATGACACAAAACTAACTTGAATAAAATGTAAAAGCTAGGGTGAAGATTTGCTCAAATCCTTAACACATTTCACATTTTTATTCATATTTTCGGCACTAGCATACCATATGTTTTTGGCTATGGTTGTCTTCTCAATGGACGTATCAAGCACTGGTTAATATAAATTAAGATACATTATTTTAAAATGTTTTCTAAACACAGATTTGAAGCTTTTAGATTCGTAAGTGTAATGGTTAAAATGATACTTACTTGGTAATATAATAATACGGGTAAAAGCTGTATTTAGTGCTTTAAAAATTGTGATACTCAAATAGAGCATCTACAAAATTTTGTCTGTGATGAACATTATATTTTCTACCTCAATTCTTGATTTTCCTATCGTATACATCAGTTATCACGGTATCTCAAACGTACTTGTTTTAAAACTAGAACTCAAAATTTTGTACTCGAGAATTCCCCTTTCTTTAACTTAATTTATCTAACTCTAATAAGTTTCACCTTTCTATAACTGGAGCTTTTACTATTCTCTAACTTATTTATAACCATTTGACTGAGATAAGCGCATAAATGCTTCCAGCAGAACCAACGGTGTGGCATAAGGGTGCATATGTGCCTCCGACGGTGTAACAAACGGACGCAAATGCTGGCTCGGCGAAACTTTAGGCTGTTTGCTGCTGTCTCAATGTGTAGATTCGGAAATTATCTCTCGCATATTTCAAACACTCGCAGAAACCTCATACTTCATACAGCATATACCTCTCGTTGCTTAGCAAGAGAAAAAAATTAAATATCGTTTAATTCAATCATTCTACAGCCGCACGCCGTTCACGCGAAGCACTTCAACTTAGACCAGTTAGCAGTAAAAGGGTTAATGAATTACATAAAATGCATTAATAAATAATTAAATAAATATTTCAAGCTTACAGTCAATAATAAAGTAGAATAGACATTCAGTACTCTTATATTATCGGGTCGTTAACTAAAACTTTCAGAACTTTTCCGTTTGGTAGAAATAAAGGGAATTTAAAAACTGAGTTAAACATAACTGTGAAGATTGCAAAGGCTCAAATGCACTCTCGCCATATTATAAATTAAAGAATAACAAAAGGCACTGCCAACTTACCGACAGCCAGAGAGACGAACCGTCAGACACATATGCGAGCCTAATATCTTGTGGATGTCCCGAAGCAACATTCAGGAACTTCTCAAATTTACATCTTCTGAACGAACTGATGTTAAATAATAGAAATAATAAGACTGAAATAAACCAGGTTAAAGACTAAAGTTCTTTATTGTAAGTCACAACTATAAAAATATTTTCTATTTTCTTTATGAGCAGATTATAGTGGTATATTAATTGAAAGCAATGGTATTTTGAAATTTTATATTTTGAAATATTTATTTTTACGTAAGTTGTAATACTACATCTTTTTCAAGCTAAAATTTACAATTTTAACAAATCTAAAGTTTACTCTGAGAATAGATGAATTCTTTTAATGTTTGAAGCATTATTTGTACGAAACTGTGAAAGTCATCAGCAATCGAAAATAAGTATAAGTAAAAAATTGGGTTTTTTTTTCTTTTAAAGATATTATAAAGCAGCAAAAATCTTCTTTATTCAAAATTTCTAAACGCTCTGTAAAACTTTTGATAAATATCTTTTTTAATCCACTGTAATTTGATAAATATAAAAAGATATTTATCAAAAGTTAACTGTTTACAAATTTCTGCACTGTAACTGAAGTTGTAAAGAAGCCTTATTTTGTCCCCGGTTTCCTGTTTCATTTAATTTGAAGAAGTTATTTTAGATTTTTTAAGTGCTTTCAGCATTTTTGGCTTAGAAAATGAGGCTAAGTATGCAAAATACTGTGTGTCTATAATTTCTTGTGATAACATCAGTTGGAAGTTATTCTTCTTTAACTGTTTGTGTCTATTACACGTGACAGACTGCTGTTGACATAGCGACATAGTTGTTAGCGTGCATTTAGCACAAAATATACATTTTAGTCTGCTTCAATATCATAATATTTTAAGAAGTCCTTGGATTAAATGTCATAGTACACTATCGTGTGAAATAATTTTTAATGTAACATGTAGAAAACGTTTCATCAAAAACAAGACTTTTGAAACTATTGTAGAGTCATTATATGTTTTCAGAGGTAGGGAAATATGTGAAAATCTGCAATGCTCTCGTCGGGACTCGAAATCCGGACATTCCGCTTGTTAGCCGGACATGCTTTCCAGATACACCAGGAAAAGCACGCGATAAAAAGGGAGTGAAACCTTACACTATTATCGAGGAAGAATATAATTATCAGCATTTCCTTTCGACTTAATACTTCCCGAAGGTCGGACAGAAATCTCTTAATTAAAAATATTCTTTATAAATATTTAATGGAAATAATTACTAGATAAGGAAATTAAAAAACAATTTAAATACGTACTGCTATTAAAATTCGAATAAAGAACTAAATTACATTATACCTTGGAAATAAAATTTCGAATGATCAAATTATTTCCAAATTTATTATAACTAAATTATTCCTTAATGCTGCATTTGAAACAGTTAGGCGAAACTAAGCTTATTGCCAGAAAGTTCCACCTCAATGCACGTCAGTTGCTTGTGAACAGTTAATGTTTCAAGCTGAAAGGAATTCTTAAATATTAGCTGAAGAGAGAACGTACAAGCTTTGTTAGTTTTCTTTCATCTTTTGCGAGTTTTCTTTCTATTTATTATTTATACAAATCATAACACCTACATACATAATACAGTGAGTGGTCGGACAGAAAATGTCCAAAAATGTGTCTATTAAGTTATAAACTATTTTCTGCTTCCTTTCTATAGGTCTTCGTGGCATAACTGGAAGCGCACTCGGCGCGTATTCGGGAGGTCCGGCGTTCAAATCCCGAAGAGGCATTGCATATTTTTCACGTCTCCAGCAGCAAAAATCCTAATAACTGTATACTAATATACGTTGCAGTATGGTTCGATCACTCTGATCTGACTGCAGTGACTCCTTGATGAAACTCCTTAATATCGTTGGAGCCACGAAGCTTAAGCTCCCTTAAGCCTCAAAGAAATGAATATGATGAGATAAATTCAGGAAAGCCTCCCTTTCACTTCTTTTAAACAGTCCCCTAATTGCCCAAAATCTGATTTATGGTCTGGAAAGTTTTCAGAGCCAAAGCAGTGGAGCACCATCCAGAAAAACTGGATTATTGAAGTACTCATTGGTACTCAAGGAAGCATGCCTTCACCCGTAACTTTCTAAGAGAAATTGACTCGTATTGATGTTGCACAGAAGAATTCTGTGAAAACTCAATCAGATAATTCTATCACTAACCGACAGCTCGAATTGGAAATATATCAGTGTTTCGAGGTTTGGAGCCATCACTGTTTTTCCATTACTTCCAAAAAATTGCCCTGCCTACAGGTGTTTTGATTTTCTTTTGCTATTAAATTTTGTAACTATGATAAGAAACATCTTATTCTTTTCCTTCCTAGTTTTTTTTTTTTTTTTTTTTTTTTTTTTTTTGTTAATTTAAACAGAATTTCCATATTTAAGAGACTTCTGACCTATTGATGAATAAAGTGTAATACTGAACCGCTGATGAAATTCTATAATGGCGCAACAAACTTATTATCCGTATTCTAGAGTCTAGAACCTCTAGTCAATCATGAAGTGATTATTTACTGTGACTCAGGAGCGCGCAGAACGATAGAAGCAACTTTCTTGTTTGTGTTAAAATTATTTTACTGCAACATATTAAAAATATATTCAAATGATAAATATTAAAAATATAATCAAAGAATCAATATTAAAATATGCTTAAAATGCAATAAATACAATAAGTCATATTTTTTGTTACTTTTAATCTGCATCTTAACATGGCATAATTCAGTAAATATAAAAAATGAAATTTGACAGTTGCAAGTATTTTACTTGGTTTTAATTCTTTAAGCGTATAGTATATTTTCTTAAATGCGCTTTAGAATTTATATAGCGTTTTCTATAAAGAATTTTTGTTCTTTGTTTTAGAAACACGCTAAAATCAAAAGAGAGGAATGTCATATCATAGGTCACAGTCTTGGATCTCACGTTGCAGGATACGCTGGTGCAAGATTGAAAACACTTGGAAGAATTACAGGTATGTATACGTCTATATACTGTAAACACTGCATCTTTCAATACCATCTAAATTACCATTAGAGGGGTATGTCAGAATTAGACGTACCATACGGACATTTATTTAATGAAAATCACAATTAAATATGCTGTAATTAATTTAAAATCATAAAAATACAGTTTCGAAGTATTATTAGTTACAGGATTAACATTAGAATTGATGTACATTGTTTAAAATAACTGACAATTAAATATAAATTTAATTTTATGTTAATTTTGCAAACCTAATGCTTATTAGTCTTCTCGGAAGAATACGACTTTTATTGAAATAATAAAAGCAAAATTTCTTCAAATCTTACCTAAACAAGAGGCATTTGATTGTTAACTTAAATCATAATGGAAGTACTGATGCATAACCTTTTGAATTTGTCAATGTTCAGCTGATTAAATAAGAAAGGAAGAGTCATTTCTCAATTCAAGCTTTCACTGATGAAATTTTACTTTTATATATAATTATTTTACACTTCCTTTCACTATTTCGTTTCGCTGAATACCTTATTTTTCTGAATTTTGATTCGAGATGCCTCATTCCCATTCCCTTAATATTTTATTTTGCCACAGCTGTCATTCTAGTTGATTTTGAGTCTGCGTATTGTTTAATTTAGTCTATATAAATATTTTAGTCATTTATTCTCTATTTAAATTAGTCCCCTTTTCGTATGCTCTATAGTTATGGTATTCATTTCCACATTTAATATTTGTCTCAAAGGAGTACTCATCTTAGTTCTTCTTCTGATAATTTCAACAGTTCAGATTTCTAATGCTCAATTTTAATTACTTTTTTGCTGCCAAGGAAAGTTCTGAATATATTAGACATGCATTCCAGAGATACGTATATTGCTTATTCTTCTTACTTTTGTACTCATCAGCTTATTGCAAGTAATTCACTTTCACTGATATCAACTTTGTGCCTCATTTTACTCTGACGTAGATTTCACTCTCATTTTTTATTATCTTATTAGAAGTGATGCAAATCATACCATAGGTTTATGTCAATTGCTTAATATTGTTAACTTGTATTTTCAATTTCTAGTGTATGATGATATACTATTTGCAATATTAACCAATTCGTAAATCTTGAACTGGGTATCAAATTTCTCTTCCTCCGTCGAAATAAATTCACATGCTATTATCCAATTTCACATTTTCTGATTCTGCATTTTTATATATACTTAAGTTTCTATCTTTAGGAATATAACCTTTGGCTTTTACCCTTTTATCACGAAATATATGAAATTTAATTTGCATTGAGATTTATTCTCGTACACTACCTCTATCTGGAAACATAAGTTTTGTCTCGAATGAATTGTATTATGTTGCGATAAATTCCTTAATAACTTAAATAAATAATTGATTTCCTTCTTTCATTGCTACAGTTATGTTATTTATTAATACAGTAGTAAATCATATTACATATAATAAATAATTCATAGATTTGTTTTTACTAAATGCGTCAGTCAAAAAGTAATTAAAACATTTCTTTTACTGCATGTAATGAAGTTATACGGTATTTCTCCCGCCTTCGTGGTGTAGTGGTTCTGCACACTGGGCCGATACTCCAGAGGTCCGTGGTTTGATTCCCGGCGAAGACATTTGCTAATTTTTCATCCTGCCTGCTTCCAAAAAAATACTTAATGTCTCTACAAAGTTAATGAAGTAAAATCAGTTTCTTAGTTAATAATTTGGAACTTGTAAATACTCAGAGAACCCTATACCATTAAGGTAACTAAGAATTGAATAGCAGGCATATTTTGCCAGCATTATATTGCATACTGATTAAATGAATTCTTTCTTTTAGGTTGTGATCCTGCCGAGCCATATTTTCAGAATATGCCTCCAAGTGTAAGACTAGATCCTACTGACGCTGATTTTGTCGATGTCATTCATTCGGACGCTACAGACATCATGTTTATTGGTAATACGAACAAATTTTCATGTTTTGGAAGCTAATGCGTATTAGAAGTACAAAGGAAGAGTTATTTCTGTTTCAAACTGAATTTTGAAGAACAGGTGTTTTCAACGCAACGGAAAGCTTTTTTATATGAACAGCATACCGTATTATCTAATTAACCTAAATTATTTATCTACAGTCATAATTTCTAAATGATTTTTACTATTTATTTAATTTGTTTTCCAAAAATCAAAATTTTTATCATAGCGAAAGTTGGTACCGAATGCAGTGTACCGGGATTTATATTGGTTATGAATGTATATTTCTCATTTCTACACATATTTTAAGTATATAGAATGCAAAATAATTTATCTCTTGTTTTTAAATCATATAATATATATGTATTTTTATCATCCTCGAATGCTTTTATCATAATACATATTTTTACCATTCTAGGGTTTGGAATGAGCCATATGGTTGGCCACGTTGATTTTTATCCCAACAATGGCCGTAAACAGCCTGGATGTAAAACAGACAAATTCAAATCTTTTATTACTGAAGGATTAAATGAAGGTAATACACTTATTTTAAAGTGAAACCAATAAAATCAACTGGAAAGATGTTTCATCGCTTTATTTTAATACTAATAACAATATATTCAAAATAAGTGGTCATTCTATCGTTATTTAATATAAGCTAATTCAGAGCTAAAAACTGACTTTAATATAAAATACATGATACAGATTACAGAAGTGATTATAAATCTTAAACACTTCTTGAATTAACTAAGAAGTAATATTATATTAAATTTCAACAAAAACACATTAAATTAACAAAGTATCAACCTTTTATTTGGTGTTACCCTAAGCACAATTTGCTAATGCTAATTTTATGTTTCATTTTGACGTGTTTCCCTTCTGTTTTGAAACATGCATTATTTTTAAGGACTCATTTACAAATATCATCTACGACGATAAAGAAATGTGAATAAAATACTACTGAAATTTGAGTTTTCATGTATTCATAAGCAACAACATTTTAATTAAATAAGTAATCATACTTCTGATAAGCAAGTTTTGTTTCGAATACCCTATTACTTGTTATGTAATACCATTAACATATCATCCATTCTTAGAGTATGATATGCTTGTTTTTAGGACAAAACAATCACATACCAGTTTTCCCAAAGAAAGGTCAATTTTAAACGAATGCTATTATCGTTATCGAATACTAAGAGATTATGGCAATCTTCTTTATAATTTATAGCTTGTATATGTCATTTATGTTTTTATAAACGGCGAAAATTGCTTAAATTTTATGAAGAATGTTAACCTCAAAATAAAAACTAAAGTAAACCTTCAAAGAAGCTAGAATAGAACATTATGCTACGTTAAAGTCAATTTAACTTCCATAAATTAAATTTAATCTTGACTGAAGAAATCAGTTAAGAGTAAATTTAATCAGAAACTGAAGAAATCCGCAGTTCCCTCGCCGGGATTTGAAATTTGAATCTCTCGAATACACGTCGAACATGCTTTCCGGTACCCCACAAAGATACGCGGAAAGGAGAAAGAAAATAGTTTATAAACTATTCTGTCACGTTTCTTATATATCGAAGGAATATTTTCCTAAAAGAACTACAGTACTGTTTCAGTTGTATAAAGTTGTGATCTTATTGAAAATTACTGTTTCGAAAATAAGTTTTCTTCAGTCCATTTCTCAAATATTTTAACCAGAAAGGACACTTTTAAAAATTAGTTTTTTTTCCCTATAAAAGTTCATTTGGCATTTTTTATCAAGTTCCTTTTCTCAATTACTTTAAAAAATTAAACGTGTTTAACATTTTAGGTGGAGTTGAAAAACATACAATTTTTAGGAAGTGCAAATGAAATTCATGGGAAATAAACTGTATATACAAAATTGATTGAAGCTTTGGAGTTTGTATAATTTAATGAATGATGAAGAAAGGGACCAAGATTTTTTAGATACAATAGAGCTCAAAAATTTTGGTCAAATAATTTAGCCAGAACAAATTTCGTCCACTGTTGTAGAAATTAATGTAGTAATTTCTTTACATAGGGATTTTATCTAGATCTCTCATAATTAGAAGTGGGATTTTTTTTCGTATCCTTTTCCGGATTCGTTAATAGTTAATACACAGTTTTTTAAAAATTCTAGGTAACACATTTTTCCATATTCATTGCTGCGTTGAACCTTTTTTACTTCCTTGTACGAAGTAAAGAGGAAGTATTGTAATCGCGAAAAGTTTCAGGCAGCATATTTCAACGAAAATATCCATTTTGACCGCTATCGAATGCAATTTAACGATGTTTTTGCCTGATATCTGTACGTAAGAACGGAATAAAATAATCTTTTCCTCCAAAAAATTATAAAACTGCTTTAAAATTAATTCTGAAGAGAATTTTTCGTGGCGTCTGTACGAACGTAGGTACGTACGTACGTATCTCGCATAACTCAAAAACAAGTAGCCTCAGAACGTTGAAATTTTGTATATAAGACTGCTGTAACATGCACCTCGTATTTTGGTTGCAATCAGCCGCACCAAACGTATATAAATGTATTTATATATATATCCACTCTGTTACACGGCTCAGTGATCTCAGTTTCTTTACTCTTTTATGTTTGTAAATTGTACATTTTTTACTTTAAAAATGATTGAATTACGTTGTTTTTATCTTCCGGTTAAGGTTTTCATGCCTTTAGTAAATCTGTATGCACTATTTTTAGAATTATCAACAATTTTAAAGTGTTTAAGTGCCTCTAAGCCTTTTTTTTTTATGGCGGCCATTGATTGTTTACATTTGAAACAGCAGACTAGTGGATTTGTTGCCAATCTAGAGAAACTTAGCTTCACAACAACAAAGATAACGCCTTTATTTATTATTGCCAATTAAATCATGCTTAATCCTTTCTGGAATTTTTTCGAGGAAATAAGTGTTTAAGATTTACTTCGTAATTTTTAATATAGATATTTTGAGTTTTTATGTATTTTTGCCTTCTCACGAAGTGATAACTGAATTAATTGAATGAGAAATACTGAATCGTCTGTGAAAAACTGTTTCTTTTTTGTTTTGTTTGCTTAATTTCTTTTATACATCATCCTAGCTTTATTATAGTATTTGAATAGAACATGTGGCAACAATTAGATAATTCTATTCTTTAAATGATATAAATTTTGTGCATTATGAGTTATAATATGAACGAAATATAATACTGTTAAGTGACTCTATGGTAAACAAATACTAGAGTGAATTTTAAAGAATGCATTTATTCTATCGTGGTTTATGCGCTGTCGGCGAAGTATATTTAATTGAATCCAATAAGTTTAAATGAAATGCAAGAAAAAATGCGTATAATTTAATATTCCGTACAAGAAAGTCATGTGGTGTACACATCAGATTTTTTTTCTTTTAAACATACCACCTTTTAGACTTTCGAATAACACTTTACCTAGTTTCAACAATGGTCTTCTTCTACTCTTTCATTTTAATATTAGCCATTATTTCCCATACTAGAGCAAATATTGCAATAAAGTGCTATCTTATCAAAGCTATTACCCCATACTGATTTTAAAGCAAAAAAGGCCAAATAAAATGTATTACGTCAAGTACAGGCATATACTCAGTTTTAAAGTTTAAAATGCTATTTCCTAAAAAGAACACATTGATTTAGAAACATTTTTACTTACATTAAATGGAATTGCTGTAATACAATATATGCTCGTTCCGTTGTTTTCTTCAAAATTACAAATAAATGGTGATTTTTATATAAGTTTTCTAATCTTGTAAAAAACGTATAAGTGGTGTATACTCAGTTGTAGGAGTCAAAATATGTTTGTTCATAAGAACGAAGTTAATAAGGAACAAATAAGGATTTCAATCCGACTTCGTCTAAAGTGGCCATTTAATCAACTTGTAATAAAAGGAGCATTTTGGGCACTTAAATATTTCTAATATATACTTTGCTGCATCTGAATAAATTTTAACAGTTTGTAAATCTAGCTTCTGCAGTTTCTCCTTTTCAGTTGAAATAATGATTTAAATAGAGTCTTTAAAAGTATGCGGATTCGAGTAAATGTAAGTTGCAGTTTACTTAATTCCCATCTCCACCTATCGTGAATGAGACTCTATAGAACATCACTGAATGAGTTAATGGAATTCTGATAGCACTGAAGCCGAGTTTTGTTTACTTAAATCGATTTTATTACACCAAGTTCTAATCAAAGTGTTGGGATAAACTGTTGGAAAACTAACCGTGTGTAAAGGCAGCACACTGACAATGGATATTCCACGACATAGTTAATAGAATTTCTGCAGTTTCTGCTCTTTCCAGCTGTAAAAGCTGAATAATTTCAAGAATAGTACTTGAGTACTTACATTGAAGCTTTAATATAATTGTTATTATGTAATTACATCGTATACTGTATAGCTGGGAAAATCATGGAAACTAGCCAATAATAATTAGTTCTGGTATTGCAAAATTGTACCATTTAATTGCGTCTAAGAACTTTACTTTCTTGTTGCATTATATCACTGCTCCTGGAGGACAATGATTAAAGCGCGAATAAATAAATAAATGAATAAAACTGCAAAAAAGAATGTAAATTATTCTTATATTATTGTAATTATAAAATTAAAAGAAAATTTAATTCAAATGGGAATCACATTCATTCAAAAAAGCATCCAACATCAAGATAATAAAAATTTTAAACAATTAAACGAAAGCTTTTGAATAACATAAGTTTAATAAGCATGTACTAAGGTACAAAAGGTTTTAAAGGAACGCATTAACGTACAATAAACTTCAATTAAATTTTGTAATTAATTTACAATCAACGCTAAACTGATTTCGTTAAAAATTTAAGTAATAGAATATTTCGAAAATGAGCTAAAGCTTTTATTTTATTTCTAAGTTAAACTAATTTCTATGTTATTTCGACATTTCTGTTCATGTTATTTTTCATTTATATTCATGCCTTTGTTAGTGCACTAGGAAATAATTCAGTTCTTTTACAGAAAAACAATTTGGATCAATAGGCTTTCTACGCTTCTTCAGCCCTATCTTTCACTACGTTTAGAATTATTGTGCTTGCATAATTGTTGCTAAGATTAATCACATAAATATTACAAAATGATAAAAGTTGGACACTCAGCTGGTATTTCAGTGATTCTAAAGCATTCGTATATTGCACTAGTCTTCGTGTAGTGTGATTTAGGTCATTGTCATTATGTAATCTAACATGAAGCAATGCTTTTAAAATTTTTATCGCTTTGCTCCAAATTTCATTTTCAAATGTTTCAGTATGAGCTTTTCGCTTAATAAATACTTTATGCAGATCCAGATCATTTCATTCTTAGAAGGGGGCGAAGTTCTTTCTGTCAGAGCTCAAAATCTCCCTTTTTCTGAACGTTTTGCATAGTGAGCCAGAAACATTGTTAGCTTTCATTGACGAAAATTCAAGATTCCAGGAATTCTTTTGCGGTATGATTTGATTATTAATCTCCAGTTTTGTTTAATGTTTTTCCCTCTTGTGTGAGACCGTTTTCTAGTTTCCTTTCATTGAACGCATGCTTCCTGAAAACGTCACTCACTATGTCTTGAAATTTATGCTTTCTCAGATCATTTCTTCCAGTCTATTTATCAGGAAATTTAGCGAAAAATTTTTTAACTGTGAAAGTGGCTTTTTCTTTGCTTTATTAGTGATCATTTCACCAGCCATCTTTATTTATATCAAGCAAGAATACTTGACCATCAAGCTCTAGCTACATTTTCTACCAAAAATGTTTTAAGACTGAAAGTGGGAAAATATATTTAATTTAATCATGTATTGTATTTCATTTATTTTTTTTAAACTGATAAGCACTTTCATAGGAATAACTATTGTCTTCATTATCCTGCTTTTCATCTCGCTTTTCTTCCGTCTCACAAATTCGAATGAAAATTCAAAATGCGATTTTGTAGCCTAAAATATTTTACTTAAATATTAAAATGGTTTAAAAGTATTCTTTGATTACTACTTAGCTTTATTTAATTTCTTTCTCAGGTTTCTGAATACTTTTGTTTCATATTTGGTTTTCTTTAATTTTAAAGTAAAATAATTGTGTAATTATTAAATAAATTTAAAGTTCTCCGCCTTAATTATATGTAATATGAAATTAATATTCATTCTTAAAAATCACTTTTTTTTATCGGCAAAAATTATCCCACTGACATGGCGTTTATTTTTACACAGTGGTTATTATAACTTTATGATTCACTGGACTTTGATTTTTAACATATTTTAAATATTTTTAAATAAATTAGTAAGCATATTAAATATTACCTATAAAGATTATGAAATTGAAGTGCATTTCAAATATTGCGTTTGAATCTTTTCAAAGAACAGTGATAAAATTGTTTTAGTAAAATATATTAAACGTTCTGTGGAAGAGAGTAAAATTAAGGTACTTTGGTAAACTATGCAGATAGTTAATTTTGTGAAAATATATTAATATAGTTTATATAAGATTTCCAATGACATTTTTCTGTGTGTTATATCCATTATATTATTTACAAGGAAACATTTGTATGTCGATGTTTCATGACAGTTATATTACCATAGTTATCAGAAAACCAGCATACCCATTTCACCACAAAATTAGAAACCACGTAAAGCTTCGCTTTGTTACTCATTGGCAATTTCCATCAAAATCTTTTGGAGAAGGATCTAAAATCTTTCTCTAGTCAAAATACAGTAATCATAAATTTTCAAGAATTAATATGAATTATCAGCACACGAAATATGAATTTAAAGAGACGGAATCATTTCTTTCAGTCAGCCATTAAATCGCACGCGGTTCTTCATAAGTATTGCTGGTACTAACATTATGGCATACGCCTGACAACTGATAGTAAAGATAAAGATGTATATAATATTTTCAAATACTAAAATTTAATACAAAAATTTAGAATTTCTTAAAACACATGTAATCATTTTTTAATGCATTTCAGGTATCAGATTAACTTTTATTTTTTAAAATAATTTTTAAATGCATAAAAAGCTAAGGAAAATTAAATGTTTTAGTTTATATAGACAGAAAATACTTCTTTTTTGAAAAGTAAAAGTCAATATTTATTTATACTGACGTGCTATCTGAAGGAAATGCAGAAAAGTTAGGGATTAATTTTCGAAGAAGTATTTTATATAGGCATAAATTATGAAACATTTTTTGAAATTAATCAACTAAAATGGCTTAGCTACCAGTAATATAAAAATTAATATAAACTTAAAAGTTTCGTTAATAGCGCCCTTCTGTACAATTTTAAAGTAAATATACACCTAAATTTATTTTATTTGCACTAGATGGTCTTTGCTGACATATTAACATTTTTATAAAAATAAAATAAAATTTCAAATTTACATCCGCTTTACCTGCCTTAGACGTTTTACGCGAATATCAGAAGAAGCTGTGTAATTACAAAGTATGACATAAATCTAACGTTCGTTCAAATCGCATGTTTATATTCTAGCAAATCAGATCACATGAATCAAAATGAGCACCGAATTTACTATCTCTATAATCCTAAAATACGTAGCTCTAAGCAAAATATGCAGCAAACCTATCATATAAAGATCAAATACGTTAATGTTATAGTAAAGCAGGCTTATAAATTTCTAGGTGCCAGACGGTTTGCCAGCTGCAATCATCAACGATCTCTAGATTTTATGCATCACTCTATAAACTATAGGAAGGTTGTTCCTGTCGGCTATGAATGCAGTAGCTGGGAAGACTTCTTAGACGGCAAATGTGCTGAATGTGGTCCGGATACGAAGAGGTGTGCCATTATGGGAATTCGTGCGGATGAATACTATCAATTCAGAAATAGCTCAGTGCAGCATTCTATGTACCTCAAGACATCAGGGAAATCACCCTTTTGGCGTAAATATATATTTTTGATTTCTAATTAATCTTTTAGTTATTGAATGAAATTATTTTTCTAAAATTATGTGTTGTAACATTCCTGCAAGCTTAAACACAAAATTACATATATGTACATAATATGAATGAATTGTTTGGCAAAACTAAAGCAATTAAATCTATACATCTTTACACCTGCTCTAAGCGAAATTAATACATAGGGATAAAATTGACAGAAAAAAAGAAACAGATCGCATGTCTCTCCCGTATGAAGAATACACAACTGTTGTTCAATTGATTATCGCAGAGCTCGCATAACTATCTATTTAAAGTGAAGGATGACTTTGGGGATGATATTGTAACAGAAACCATTCCGTATTCAAATTATGTATGGAGGAAAACACATGAGCAGTAAGAATGATAAAAAAAACTGCATCTCCACTGCTAAACTAGCTGCTAACGAAAACATTTTATTATTATTATTATTATTATTATCATCGTGCTTTTTCTTTCTATAGCGGAAAGGTAATACGTAATTTGAGTCTTCCTTTCTTTTAAATATTATAATTATTTAGTTTTAGCATGCAAAGAGATTCTCAAAATTTGCACAGTTTAATGAATGCTAATATTTTCATATTTATTTTCTAACTAAATTTACAAATATAATATAGCGAATTCGGGTTAATGTTCATTTCCAATATGATTTTTTGTGATAAATGAAATATTATTTTTTACCCTGCAAATAATAGAACTACGTACTCTGATATGCCCAAACACTGAATTCTATATTCTTCTCGCAAATCAATGTCTAATTTATTCATTATACTATTGAATACGTCGGTGGTTTTCCTTAAGATACCTCACAGTTATGTGCTTTTAACTAACAATACACTCTGGTAAAAAATAAAGCCATACTTGCAAATCAGTGAAAATGGTTAGTTAGGTTACTTGCGTCTGTCAAAGCACTTGAGGGTTATCTGCCTGAGGAAAGAAACGTCTTCGCAAAGGACGTTTTATAGAAGAGTATAAATAAACGAAGAGGTCTTAATTTGTATGATTTTGTTTCTCATCATATATGGGTCATTACTTTTTTAATTTAGATTCCCACAGTGGACACGTAATGAGCGCTGGATACTAACAATTCGATCCGAGTAGCAGACTGACTGCTTGACTGGTTTTCGTAGCTTTTGTCTTACGTAATGTGAATGCGAGACAATTTCTCTTAAAAAGTTCTTCGCGAAGACATCTTCGCGTTTAGAGAAATAGCCCTCGAGTGTTTGTCCTTATCCAGATAACCTAACATATTCTTTTAGCTTAAATGCTTCATCTATGATAAAAAGCATTTTTATGGTAACTCGAATATGTCTGGAACAATATGAAACATAAGCTTTCATATTGTGATTAAAATTTCATGATGTGATTAAAATTGGAAAATTGTTTTATTTCAAAATTAGGTTTCAGATGGATCTTTAGAGAAAGGGAGAGGTTTCGCAGTATGAATGCATTGGAGTGTTTTGTATAAAGTAAACATTTCTCAAGCAGTTTTGGAGCAATCGAAAAATCATATCCTCTTACAATTAACATATCTTTCATAACGACGTAAATTGTTATCAAAGAGATATCCGTAAACGATTGAAATAAAAAATATATGAAAATTTCAAAAGCGAAATTACTAAGATTAACAAGATAATAAAAATAAAACTAAAGTACTTAATTTGACATGATTCCATTAAACAAAATACAAAGACAAATGTATTATTATACGACTGAATAGATCATATCTCTTTTTCCAGTATACCATTATCAAGTAACAGTAAAACTTTTTAAACCCAGAGTTTCTCACAAGGATGTTAAAGGCACTTTTGATATCAGTTTATACGGATCCAAGGCAGACGAATTAGCCCATGCTCAAAGCAAGTAAGTATCAATCCAAATTTCGTTTTAATTTTTCATTTAATTAAATAAATGATAAATTTATCAGTAAATCTAAATGTAATATATACAATTAATTCTGTGTTAAAATAATTGATAAAGGTTCGTACTAAGTTTCAGAAGTAAACAAAAATCTGAGTACTTTTCTTCTCTGGACTTTTGCCGTAAAACTATTTACTACTTTTTAATTGTTAAAGTATGTATAAATATAGTAATGATTTTGTTTCATGAACAAATTTCTATTAGAGATTTTACACTAAATTTTAGAAATCTCTTAACCAATGATTTCAGTCTTTTTAGATCTAAGATCGTTTTCTCTCCAAGTATGTGCAAACTGCAGTTCTCTAACTTAATTCGTATTATTTCTAAATTATAAATACATAATTCACATATTCATTAGACTGCTAAACATGAAATCAGTTATTAACTAGTTTTCAAATGGCAAGAAAATTAATTATGTGGTAATCATAATGAAAATTAAGTTTAGAACATTAATTTATTGGTTATAAACTGCTACTTGAATATCATAATTTCATATCGAGAGATTTCATTTGCAAAATATTTCATGGCAGTCTTGGTATTTATATGTTGCTGACTGTATATTCAATATCACAATTAATAAGAATTATTTCTTTCAGAACTGTTTCAACTTGATTTTCAAACGTTCTGAAATCACACAAGTAAACTTGAGCCAACACTTACATTAATGCACTTTGTGATTAGGCTATCAGGCACAGCTTTTATGTAATGTGTCAGTGCTGTGGAATCAGGATTAAAGAACATGAAAACAAGTAAACAAACTGCAACAAAAACTAAGATTACAAAACAAAAAACATTGTATTATATTTGGTTCAGTTATGATGGGAATTTAGTTGATACTACGTAAGAAGTTATATAATATTTTATATCAGAAGTTGCGAAACGTACTCTTCAAAGTCGCATTTTTGAACTACACTTAAGCTTGAACGCTGGTAACCTTTGCTTAACTTCAGAGTTTATTTAAAAAGAATCGCTACAGTAGTTTCAGGACGTTTCATGCTACGTAACATAAATTTCTTTCACTTTCGTCCATTAAAACATTTCTTTTGGCTCATCAATTTCGTACATATTCTGTATAGTTATAAAGAGCCTAAAATGAACATTATAGTAATATATATGTAATAGAAAGTGAATATGTATGTAAATAAGAACGTATACTTGATAAAGGATATTAAACGTTTAAAATATGAAATGGGCATAGGGCACATTGGAACGGTCACACGTTTTCGTTCTATATAGTCATCTTATGAGGTCAGGTATCATCTGCAGTAAAGCAATCTACTGCCGTTTTCTCCCTACGAAAGCTCATTACATTGTTTTACCTGATCTCCACTAGTTGGTGTTAAATTGTAGTAATATGTTTCAGAAATAATGTAGTACGATTTAATAGAGTTGAAGCCCGTGTATGTACAAAATGTAATTCTAATGAATGATAATTGTAAAAAAAATAACTTTCTTTGTGTTCAATAATTTAATATTTTTATGTTACTTCAAAAACAATATGTTTCCCGTCTACAAGGTAAAAAGTAAGTATAAAATGAGGAGAAAACTCCAAATTTTCATGAATTATTCATATTATTCCTTTTCAGGCAACCATTATTCAAATCAAATACAATAGGTGTTTTAGAAATTATGCTTGTTTTTTTTGCTTATCGAAATTTTATTCAGTCTAATGATATACATTCATTTATGATTTTAGAGCTATTGATTTATACCATGGAGCCCGTTATCAATATTTAGTAACCACGGACAAAGATCTTGGAGAAATCAAAAGTGTTACCCTGAAATGGTACAGCTCCTCTAAAAATCCGATTGGTATATTTTTTAAGCCAAAGCTGTACGTCGAATACATAACTGTCATACCCATGAATGTAATTGAAAAATCGTAAGTAATTGTTTATCATTTCAAATGTTCAACTCCCTCTCTCCTCTCTTTTTTTTTTTTTGTGTGTGTTGTGTGTGTGTGTCGGGTGTGGTCATGTGTATGTGTGTGGGAAATTCTTAATCATATATAATCTTTTTATAACAATTATCTTCATTTTTAGTGAAATTTTATTGTAAACACAAGTCTTTCCTCAGATGAACTCCAAACATTAAAAGTCACGTTGTTACAAAACAAAGCAAGCCCATAAAATTTGGCACAATGTTACTTAAAACTCTTGTTAACTTCAGACATACACACTGTTGCTGACTATCAGGTACACCTGCTTTATCACTGAGGAACACATCCAACCATTGTAAAAATGTCGATCTCACTTTGTCTCGATTAAACATCTCAGATAATAACCATACAGTCTAACATTAGGAGTGGCCCATAACTGTTTACTCTTCTTTTCCTCCATTTTACTCAACAAACAGCTCCATAGTTGCATCATCGATTGTACAAATTGCTAAGTTCATTTATGAACAATATACCTGAAACAATGCACTTTGGAGGACGTATACTGCGTTCAGTTAACTTGAAAAATCCTATCCTTGGGAATAAAATCCATAGATACTTATCATGCCTCAGAAACTTGGATGAAGAATCTAGAATATATCCTTGAAGAGCATTGTCACTGCGCGAAACATAAGACCGTTTACCTTCCATGAACCTTTGACAAATAGACAATTATAGAAGTGTTGGCAATTAATAAGATAAAAGTAAATTTAATTAATTTTTCCTGCTTAATTTATTTATTTCTGGCTAAAACACTCAGCGATTTAAAAGCAATAAAAGTATTTATTAATAAATGAAATCTTTAGAACATAATGACACGCTTAGTAAAACTGCTCATAAATTTACACAGAAAAGTTCTTTTTATATTTTTATTCTATCACGTTTTATTTAAAATTCCCTTTTTTATTTCCCCCATTCTTCCCCCCTCTTTGTAGTGATAATGTACGTTTGTTTATTTATTTTTAGAGCTATATCTTGCTTGTGTAAGCCTCGTGGTACAATTTGTGGAACACGAGGAGACAAAATTAGAGTTAACCTAAAAATATTGACTTAGATTTTATTTTAGCAGAAGCTCTTTCAGACATTCGACCCTATGCACCTTCTTCTGCTACAACTAGTAAATGAAAGTCAAATATTTTTTCAGTTAGATGTAGCTGACGAGTAACACACATATTAGGTAAAGCGCTTCTGAAAAGTAAGATAACTCGTCTTTCATTCATTTGCAGCTGAGGAAGGCAGCAATGTTAGATAGAGAAAGCACTTTTGCTATAATAAAATCTATGTCAGCTAAAGTTATTTTTCTTAGACTCAATTTAAATTTTTATTTTACCTTTTGTATAAATATCTAATCGACAAATTTAAAATATATTTATTACATAAAATATCCAATCAATAACTTTCATGAGTATTTACAACCTTGTTTTAGTTAATAAAAGAAGTTTTTAATGCCGCTTTATACGCAAGTGGTACATAAACATTTGTTTCGATTTTAATTTTCATATTGTTTTACATTTTTATACGTTTTAATAGTTATTGAGTACATTTTATAAGTTTTAATTTTTGAAATTTTTTCAATTTTTGCCTCTTCTTTAAGCTAATAGGCTGCATTTTGAAATATTCAGACTGCAATTTGTTATTTTTTAAAATTTTATGTTTAAGGGCTAAATGTTGGCTTAATAAAACAGAGTAGTATAATCTTTCAAAAAAGCAAAGTATGAGACTTTCGCAAAATGTGCAGAGCATTTTTTAAGAATTATTGCCTATCTAAACTTAAAATTACATCAATTAGAAAAAAAATAATTTACGAAATGTAACATTTTTCATTTCATGCAATGCAGATCGACGCATTTCAGTGATTTTTAGAGTAAACGAAAGGGGTGAAAGATGTTATTTTAAAAATACTCTTGCACAAAATGACAAATAAATTCAAGACTTACGCAACAAATTTTTCTATAAGTCAATTTTTACTCTCTTACAGGCCAAGGAATATGAAAAATCGTGCATTTTGTGGAAAACCTGACAAACCTATCGAACCAAAAACAGTCGCAACATTCCACAGAGACAACAAGTGTCTTACGTTCCTGTAAACCGAATGAAAGAAAACTGTTCTGAATGAAAGAAAACTGTAACGTAACACCATGTAATCTGAATGCGTGGGATTTACTG